AAAACTTTTTTTTTTTTGGAAACGGCCGAAAATTCATGCGCGCGCGGATGTCATCCATATAATCAAATCAACATGGCCTAAGTTAACCCTAAACAGTACACCTGGGGTCCGCGCGGACCCCAGCACTATATATTTCTGTAATATCTTTTTTGTTTCTAAAGATTTTTTTCTGAAATTTTAGGTAATTGTCACCCACAAAGTTTGTCTCTCAATACATTGCAGAAAACTCCGTTTCTACCATTTATAAAAAAAATTATATTTGATTTTCTTTTGGGGTCCGCGCGGACCCCAGCCGGCTTTCGATCATAATGGATACACTGGCGTTCTTATACATTACCTTATTTCCGTTTTTATATGTTTTTATGCACTCATCGTATGTCTACCAAGTTTTTAGAGAATTGTGTAGTAATAGAATTAGATTTTAATAACTTTTGTGTAATTATGACGTCATATGACGTCAGAGCTAATAATATAGTCCGCCATATTGGATTTTGACCAATGACGTCATCAAATTAGCATATTCTATGCATATTAAATGATTTAACTTATATTTAATTATGTAAGATGTTATTAATGTTGGTAAAAGAAGTGTAGTTTTATATAAAACTACAGAAAATTTTTATGTTTAAACCAAAATTACTTATATTTTCAAAAAAACTGCCTGCTAAAAACCCGTTGCCATGGCAACACAAAAAAACATCAACTTACTAGTATAAAACTAATATGAACTCTTTTCCAGAGACATTTTAGGAAAGGTCTCCAAATTTGATACTTCTAGCGCAAGCCGTTTAGCCGCTATCTGAGATCAAAGTTGGGCCTCAAAAGCCCCTTCAGTCTGAAATGGGTTTAAAAATCGGGTATTTCTTCTTGTCTTCTTTCCTTCAACAAAAAATAGAAAAAGTTCAAAATGTATGATTTTTGTATGTAATGTGGACACAGAGGTTCCCACATCAGTTTGCAAAACAATTGAGCTGGTAACATGTTGATAATTTCTACAAATTAGCAAATAACTGCTCTGGGGTCCGCGCGGACCCCAGGTGTACAGATTAATCAGTCCGGGAAGGTGTTCTGTTGAGGGTTAAGGCCGTGTTAATTTGATTATATGGATGACATCCGCGTGCGCATGAATTTTCGGCCGTTTCCACAAAAAAAAGTTTTCAACCATACTGTAAATCGTACAAAACAGTTGCAAAATGAGCAAATATATACCGTAAGCTGAAAAAAATTGAAAATGTCGTAGAATGCCAAGATCAAACAAAAAAGACGAACATGAAATGAATTTGAAGAGTAGATTACTCACTATACCGTACCGCAAATTTATGTCCTTTGTTCAACCTTCATGACCACGTAGATTTCATAATGAAAGCATCTTTTTTTGCAAAACTTTTTTTTTAATTCGCACGCTCGCATCACTTTTGGGGTTCCCAGAGGATGTCATCCATATAATCAAATCAACATGGCCTAAGATACCAATTGCGAACTTTCTAATAAATGTACAAGCAAAACTTAACGTATTATAAAAATTAACGTATCGTGGGTCGTGTGGCGTAGCGGCAGAGTGCTCGAGTGCTCTGAACCTAGAGGTCCCGGGTTCGAGTCCTGACCTGCCACCGATCTTGTGCCCTTGGGAAAGGCACTTTACACGACTTTCCTCACTTCGCTCAGGTGAAAATAAGTATTGTATTGTCCCCTGTGTTGGTGGCGGCATTAATATAAGTTTGAAAAACTTGAGTGTGCCGTCACCACGTCTTGTGCTTACATTTTGGAAATTACGTATTATAAACATGTATGACCTGCTCTGCTGTGCAGTGATCCTTTCCAAGTCCTGGCCCCGCCCAGCATGGTGAACAAGACGTATGAGGAACTGTTGGAGGGGTTCCAGTGGACAGCTGAGAGGGCGGCACAGTTCTCTTCATACCTCCTGGACGGAAACTTCAGCACCTTCTGTTTTGGTCATGGCAACTTCACGGGCGATTTCGTAAGTACCGGGCACTAAGGCCACGTTGTGGGGTCGTGTGGGGTAGCGGCAGAGTGCGCGACTCGGAACTAAGAGTCCCGGGTTCGAGTCCTGACATGCCACCGATCTTGTGCCCTTGGGAAAGGCACTTTATACGACTTTACTCACTTAGCTCAGGCGTAAATGAGTATTGTCCTGTCATGTATTTGTCCCCTGTGTTGCTGGCGGCATTAATATAAGTTGAAAAAACTTGAGTGTGTAATCTGGTGATTACATGTTGGAATAAAAGAAAAGGCCACGTTGAATTGATTATATGGATGACATCCTCTGGGAACCCCAAAACTGATGCGAGCGTGCGAATAAAAAAAAGTGTGGCCAAAAAAAGATACTTTCATTATGAAATCTACGTGGTCCTAAAGGTTGGACAAATGACACGAGAGGACGAATGACATGGTATGGCGAAAAATGTACTCTTCGAATTCATTTCTTTACATTTTCGTCTTTTTCGTTTGATTTTGGCATTCAACGACATTGGTGCCGTTTTCCAATATTTTTCTTTGCAATTTACGGTATATATTTGCTCATTTTGCAACTGTTTTGTACGATTTACAGTATTGTTGGAAACTTTTTTTTTGGAAACGGCCGGAAATTCGTACGCGCGCGGATGTCATCCATATAATCGAATCAACATGGTCTAACTAAAATGGATTATGGCTTGGTGTATTACTTAGGCTATCAATTGAATTCGTTTAAGGCAGCGGTCAGGGCAAACGGTTGTTATGCATTTTTCTGTATACTTCGTTCTGCATGTTGTGCTATTCTCGTTGCCTCCAATGTTATTTTACCTTTATTTTACGGTGATACTTTTAATTTGTCAGTGAATACACAACATCAATGGTAAACAAACATTTGAACACACCTTTCCCTCATGAAAGTTCATCTGCGTGTGAACTTGGTAGTTACATGTTTAATTTTGATCGAACACAACAAAGTTCTCTCACCTAGAGCTTTCGACCAGTCACTCTGGTCTTCCTCAGTAGACTGACCCAGTGAAGCTTGTCACGTGACTTCTTTGAAGTGTGACGTCAACACTGGGTCAAAGGTATCTGGTAGACGATGCCGGCACCCACTCAGGGTTAGTCTACTGAGGAAGAGCAGAGTGACTGGTCGAAAGCTCTAGCTAGGTGAGAGAACTTTGTTGTGTTGGATCGAAAGTCTTAACTTTAAACTTTTCCCTCCTGTTCCTGTTGGACTACAGCTCACATCGGCAAAAGAGATGCCCTTCCCCCGCGGGACCAGGTTCCCTCCCCCCGACACCTGCGGCCGGACTTCCTCCAGCGCCTGCCGACCCCCTCTCACTGCAGTTCACTTCTGGGCCGCTACCTCCCTCCTGGCGCTGCTGTGCAAAGTTTTGCACAACTTATAAAGATGCTGTTGAGTTTTATCGTATGGCAATATTCAGGAGAGCAACAAAAGTAGTTGAATCTTTTCATTCATTAAACAAAAAATTCAGACAGACAAAGCATCCATGTTATAATTAGTACAGTAGATAAATTGAAATAGATCATGGTAATTATGACTATTTCAATAATCAGTGAGACAAATCCCGAAATAACAAACATTTTACAAAAAATTCTACATATTTCATGGATGTATGAGATCTCTGAATTCTGTTTTACTTTCTTTCTACCTGACGTACAGCAATAACTGAAGTACTCGGCGTAAAGATCAGAATTGCCCTGATGATGTGCGGCTCAAGTCCCTTTTCCTGCATTGACAAGTAAAGCCCAGGTCACAACCCGCCGTACGTGCTTTTTGTCCGTACGTTTTTTGGGAGGCTACGTCTGCTACGTTTTTTCTGACAACGTGGGGAAGGAGTGGCGTCGACGCACGTCACTCGCACGGTTGCACAAGGTGTAAGAGTGTGGTCTGCACGCCACGTCTGGCCGTGAGCGGTTGCGTGCATCGTTCGTTGCGCAAGTGGTGAGATGTACGTGCTTACAACGTACGATCTCTGTGCGATTGCAACTTTACCGTAAGGAGGCCGTACTCACACGTACTTCTTCCGTACGGTACGGTACGGTACTCGCACGCACGGGTGGTGAATCCGTAGACCGCACGCAGAAAAAAGTTTTCCATGCACTTAAACTTCTACGGCGTGTCTGCGTGCTCCCGAAGCCGTAGGATTCCGTACAGAGGCGGTACTCACCACGCACGGATGCCCTACGTTTGCCCACGTTTTTGCACGTAGACAGAACGCAGAAGCACGTACGGCGGGTTGTGACCAAGGCTTAACATTTCTAACACATAACGTTACGGGTGTTTATAAGGCCATGTTGATTTGATTATATGGATGACATCCCCTGGGAACCCCAAAACTGATGCGAGCGTGCGAATAAAAAAAGTTGCTTTCATTATGAAATCTACGTGGTCATTAAGGTTGAACAAATGACACAGAGTATGGTATGGTGAATAATCTACTCTTCAAACCCATGTCTTTACATATTTGTCTTTTTCGTTTCATTTTGGCATTCTACGACATTGGTATCGTACACCAATATTTTTGGTTACACCTTACGGTATATATTTGCTCATTTTGCAATTGTTTTTGTACGATTTACAATATGGTCGAAAACTTTTTTTTGGAAACGGCCGAAAATTCATGCGCGCGTGGATATCATCCATATAATCAAATCAACATGGCCTTATCCTGTTCACAAATAAAGAATAGAGAATACATTTGTACAAAACTCCTGCAAAGTGTAGACAAACATCCATTAGTAGTAATAAGGTGTCAGAGTTGTTATACGTTCATTGTGTGAAGTTTTGTGACAGATCACATATTATAGTTAGGCCACACCAAGTAAATTTTATGGATGACGTCCGCGCGCGCATTGATTTTGGCCTGTTCCTAGAAAAAAAAACAAGAAATTCCGCTTCCTGTAACTATGACCAAAGAGTCACGACAGTGCCTCATATAGGTTTGTACGGACCAAAGCTTATGAAGCATCAAGCAAGGAAATCATGACTTCCTTTAGGAATTCAGTTTGGTACAAGAAACTTGCTGACCGCTCCATCTATCTCCCCAAAGCATAGGACGACAACTGCTGTTCCACCTGATTTATTGCTGTTTTGATGATGAATAAAAGACTTCTTGCTTGTTACACTGTGTCACCTCATTCAATTTGTGTCCTAACATTTGTCGTCTCTTAGTATATTTCTAATCTAGGCATCTTGTTTTTTTAGGGCCCTTCTTGTTTTTTGTCGCCCTCTCGCATTAGATTTAGGGTCTCCAAAGGACGCCATCCATACAATTTACTTGGTGTGGCCTTACATCAGACTTGAAAACAGCTTATTAAACAGACTGTGGACAGGCGAGGTGCTATGGTCCATTTGGATTTTTTGGTTGTAAAAAAATTGCTCCCCTTGAATTACGGCATAACAAATTGTCAACACAATATTGAAAGTTTATTGCAAATACATGCCCGATGGCTAATTGTAAATACCAACAACATGTATGACAAGGCTGAGGCAATAAAAATCATTGCCAAGGCGACGACTGAATGATATATATTATTTCATGTGGTGGAGCTAGCAATCTACATTACAATTATCAGAAAAAAAACATATTTCCCTATCTTATAAAGACATGCACATAGTGAAATTTACAGGATGGGTGGAGGAGGTGTGGGGCAATATACCAAATACACGTATAGGAGGAATCAGCCGTTCTTCCCCAGCAATATAGATTTTATGATGACATACTTACTTACTTTACTTTGGTCGAGTTCTCGCTAGAACCAAACCATCCTCCATTTCACTTCACTCTATCCTCCACCAGAGACTGGATTTTATGTCTGGTCTGAAGTTGTTACTCCTTTGACTTTTTTTTACCTTTTGTGGGATCCAAAAGGACGGACAATTTCTTTTCTCTCTGTGATCTGATATGGTCTTTGGCCAAAGACAGCTGTGCTCTCTGTCCATGGTGTGGGGAGAAGACTGATGACCAGTAATAAATCTTGCCAGGCAGCTGGATGGGTGGCACGTGGGCACCCCGTGTAAGTTACCTGCTTGATCCAAAAACCACATGGCCGAAGGTTTCCTCAAAACCAATTCCCCAGGGAATGCATTCGTGTAATTTTTGAAATTCTTTCAAAGCGATCGTAGTACTTACACAAATGCCTCCGCCCCCAAAGGGCGTCGCCAAAAAAGAAGATACAATGATATGACAGACTGTGTGTTATACTGCATTCTACAACATACGTGGTAGTACGGTGGTACTCATGAGTTTTGCTGGGTTTAACGTATTCTTTTGAGGCAGTGGGGGACCAATTCACCCACTTCGTCTATTATATGTGGGTTCTTTGATTTTAGTAGTAAAATTGTTTTCTTTAAGTGGGGGATAGTACAAAAGTAAGGGTGCATTTTGGACACGGTAGTAAATAATTGGTTTCTGATATCATTAGAAATATGGACAATTAGAGATGAAATGATTTTCAAATATTTTGTTTTAAATATTGGGCTTAACACCCACTATCTTGACTGATTCAAGCGAAAACTATTTTGGACACGTAACAACATTATCTTGGCTTTTAAAGCTTCATGAGCACGTGGCAGCCCTTGATTGGCTGATCTGTTTGAAGCACCGAACTACGTGGTCTGTGATTGGTTGCATGTATGACGTCACTCGGTCTCCATGAGCACGTGCCAGCCCTTGATTGGCTGATCCGTTAGGAAGCACCGAACTACGTGACCTGTGATTGGTTGCATGTATGACGTCACTCGGTCTCCATGAGGTCGTGCCAGACGTTGATTGGTTTTCCCCGATGACGTACCGCCCTCCGCACGTGTTGCCGTTCGCTCTCCTCCGTAGCCATCGCCCCGAGCCGAACCTGTCCGATCACCCCGTCGGCAAGGATTCGGGCATGATCGTAAACGGTGACAATGATGCTGCAGTCCTCGAAGATTTCTGACGGAAACGGAAAATTAAAGGCCTCCTTGAAGACGGGGTCGCACGTCTTGCGCTGGATCTTGGTATGTCTTACGTCGTCTTCGGCACCGTCAGGTCCGCGTATCACGATCCTCACGTAAGAATCTAAAAAAAAAAAGAAAATCTCATTCACATTGGTTCATTGAGGATATAGCAAAAAGCAACATGTTTATACGTAACCCTTTCTTAAAAAATCCAAAACCAAATATAAACTACAAAGGTAGCATTTGCAAAGCAAATGCATAGTGTTTACCTTGAGTTCGCATATGGTCTGCTCTGTTAATTCTTACTCAAACACATTCATATACTAGTATGGTGACAGGAGTCTAAATCCCTCCTGCTATAAAATTGCAACATGGTGTAACCCAACACTAGTTACCATGGTGACAGACGTCTGGTTCAGGTCATTGACCTTATTTGTATGGAGAAGAAGAGGAAGAGGAAACAGAGCAAAAACAACATGCTTTCCTTCTGCAAAGGTAAACATAACAATTGCATTGGGAAGGAACACAGTCCATACATAAAAATGTAAGATAGATGACGGGAAACAATCCAAAGGAGACAATGCATCCATCCATCCATCCATCCTTCCATCCATCCTTCCATCCATCCTTCCATCCATCCATCCATCCATTCATCCATCCATCCATCCATCCTTCCTTCCTTCCATCCATCCATCCATCCATCCATCCTTCCATCCACCCATCCATCTATCCACACATACATACATACATACGTGCATGCATAAATACATACATACATACATACACTGCATGTACATACAAACATACATGCATACATACATACATACACACACACACCTGGTGGTCCAATGAGAGCATTCCTCGGCAGGTTTTCCGCCTTGACGACCGTTACCAGCATGTTGTCTGCCCTGGCCTGATAACACAGGGACAGGTTCAGCATGCCCAGGTCCTGGAGTAGGGAAATTTTAGTATTAAGAGGCGCCACCTGGCGTTCTCGAATTGCAACTCATGAACATGTTCAGTATAAGATCATGTACCTTGCAATATTTGTCTCCGGGGACTGTGACTGTAATCAACTTTAAAACCACTATTTTCATTCATTAATAGTCAGTGTGTATGTTCATTCAATGTGTGCTGTTACCGTTGTATCATGTACAAAATGACTAACAAACTGATAGATGTACCAACCACTAAGTATCTGATTCCAGCCCGGAAAAGAACAAGAAACAGCCATGCCTTCAAATATCAGAGTTATCAACCAAGAATTGAGGTGTTAAAAAACTCGTATTTCCCTAGAACTATCGTAGACTGGAACTCGTTGCCACCAAGCACAGTTGGGGCATCTTCACCAGAAAACTTGAAAAAAACTCCTGCAATTAAATGTGCAAAGATTGAGTGTAACAAGTCGTTAGGTGTGATATAGCTAGCTGCCGCCGCGCCTCGTACCTTCGAAGCTGGTGTTACGCCGAAGGGCGGTTATACTGGCTATACTGATACAGATACCGATCGTTAAGATACCTGTTCGAAAGTAGAAAATTAGTTCAAACTGCAAGTCTGAATGGGATCATAAGGAACTTTTGAAACCATCCTTTTTCATTTCTTCCCATTGCCTTCCTTTCCTTTGGGGTTGATCTTGGCTTTCTACGACATTAGTATCGTTTTCCAATATTTAGTTTGCAATTTACCGCATATATTTGCTCAGTTTGCGGCTGCCTTGTACGATGTACTAGCCTGGGTGCCACCCACCATGTCATTATATATTATGAGCCGGCGTAAACTACAGAAGATGGCGCCACCCAAGCTAACGAATTACAGCATGGTCAAAAACTTTTTTGGGGGGGGGGGACTAAAATTCATGCACACGAGGATGGCATCCATATTATCAAATCAACATGGCCTAACAAGATATTTGCTGTGAGAGGAGTCATCACAAGAGCCAAGGCAATTTGGCTTTGAAAAACGCTCTAATTTGTTCACGAGGGACTTGTTTCTAAATCCATGCGGCCGAGGCCGCCTCTCTGGTGGGCACAGCACGGTCGAACCTCACGGTGTGAACCAGAATATGGATTTACATTAGGCCACAGCAAGTAGTTTTTATGGATGACATCAGCTCGCGCATTAATTTTTGGCCTGATTTTTAAATAAAAAAGACATTTTGTTGCCCTTTGACAGTGGTCAACATGCCGAAAATGGGCCAAGACCATACTGGAACGTGGATGGCAGACAAATATGAAGAGAGGAGACAAGGCTCTGATTTAATGTTTTGTCTTTTTCTTTGATGCAGCGACGTATGTCATTCCTTTTATATGTGATGGTGGCTGTGTATATGTGATATTCACACTGAATCAAAACCATTTGTACAATTATTAAAAACTTAATTTTTCAAAATCATTTCAGTGAGAAATAGATGATGTAATAGTTGATTGTAGATTCAGCACAAGATAGTTATCATTTCTTGTTCAAGAAGGTTTAGGATATCGAAATTTAAAAATGTAGGAATCTTGTTTTGTTCGGCCCGCCTTGTTTTTCTTTCGCCCTATCGCATTAGATTTGGAGTCTGCGGAGGATGTCATCCATGAAATTTACTTGCTGTGGTCTTGGCCTAGCTAGGTGTCTGCTTCAGACATCAGGACACAGAGGAATCATAATTTGTGCTACTAAAAGGAAACAATCGTGACCCAGGAGATGCATTATCTCCTAGCTATAGCCTCCCATGTACAGATATCTTGTCGTGCAATAAACTTCTTCAGTCACCAAAATTAAAGGAGACGTTTTATCTTGAAAAATAAATTTATAGACTTTGATTTTATATAAGGCCACACCGATTTAATTTCATGGATGACATCCTCGGAAGACCCCCAAGTGCGCGCGGGCGAATAAAAAAAAATTCCGGCCAAAAATAAAAATGCTACTAAACCACAGGAATGCAAAGCTGGTATTGTGAATTCCCGACAGTACATAGTGACGTATACGACAAGCCGGCACATGCTTGCTTTTTGTGGCATTTATGAATCGGTACTATACTAAATTATTATTATTCATTATACTTATGTACTGAGTTCTTGAGTCGTGGAGCTTCGAATTCGATAGCCTAGAGCCAGGCCAGAGCCTTGGTGGAGGTGATCTTTTTTTTTTTTTTTTTTGAGGGCGACAGGCGAAAATCAATGCGCGCGTGGATGTCATCCATAAAACTAAGTCGGTGTGGCCTAAATGTGTACACTTTAAGAGGTTAATTTCATACCATCGAAGGAATCTATCTCTACGTGCCTATTATATATATACAAGTATATATAAAGGGTCGTTCATGCATATTTGCTATGACAGCAAGGAGAATGAAGACAAAAAAAATGTTTATCCCCTGAATAATATCTCCTAAGTGCGTAAAAAATGATCTAAAATTTGTTATGTCTGTTAAAAGAAGCTATTTCGACCAATAAATTGTCAAGCCAAAAGTGTCAAAGCTCCACCGATATTAAAGGCATCCAGTGAAGTTTTTAGGGCTTGGAATCAAACCAGATTTTTAAAAGTAAATATTCTAGTCACTTATCTGCATACTAAATTTAAACAACACTGTCCCAATTTATATCAACATTCATGGAGCAAAAATGTAAAAAAAAATTAAGGCCTAAAAACGGTTACCTGGAAGGACCTAGATTGATTTTCAGGGCACCACCCAGAAAATAAAACACTGATCTTGTGGCTTGTTTCTGCAGTTTCAAATATAAATGTTCAAAGTATGAAATACTAATTCAAATGTGCTAATGTGGCACATTATGTGTCTATATCAAACAGATTGCTTTATTCAGAATATTTTCAGTTCGGTAGCCTAGTATTCAGTCTTAGGCCATGTTGATTTGATTATATGGATGACATCCTCCGGGAACCGCAAAACTGATGCGCGCGTGCGAATAAAAAAAGTTTTGCAACAAAAAAAGTTGCTTTCACTATGAAATCTACGTGGTCATGAAGGTTGAACCAATGGCACAGAATATGTTATGGCGAATAACCTATTCTTCGAATTCATTTCTTTACATTTTTGTCTTTTTTCCTTTGATTTTGGCATTCTACGACATTGGTATCGTTTCTAAATGTTTTCCTTGCAACTTTAAATTTGCTCATTTAGCAACTGTTTTTGCACGATTTACAGTCTGGTTGAAAACTTTTTTTTTTTGGAAACGGCCGAAAATTCATGCGCGCGCGGATGTCATCCATATAATCAAATCAACATGGCCTTACGTATACGTGATGGGGCGTGTTGGCGAGGACACCGGGAAACCTATGTGAGGCGAGCGGGACAGAGCTCTTTCGGCCCCGACCACGATCATGCAGACTGGATACTACATTGTAGGCTACCAGTTTGGCCGCTCTGAAAATGCATCGGATGCCTGTAAACCTTAGAGTGTCTGAGGGTGCCGATGACATAGTTACCACAGGGCTGCTGATCCCTTTTAACTACATCCACTACTTTTCTAACCTCTTCACCCCTACCATCACGGTCGTCAATCATGTAGCTCCGACAGAAAGGCTCCAACATAAGCCGAGGGGCGATGTTTTGTAGAGTTTAAAAACATAGTATTTTTTATTACATAAGGCCATAGCAAGTAATTTTTATGGATGACATCAGCGCGCGCATTGATTTTCGGCTGATTTTGGAAAAAAAAAACAAGAAATTTTGTTGCCTTATGAAAGTGGTGAACATGCCGAAAATGGTCAAAGATGTCTGTTGCCATGCCGGAAGGTGGATGGCAGATAACTATGAAGAGAGGAGACAAGAAAAGGCTCTGATTTAATGTCTTGTTTCTTACTTTGATGCAGTGATATGTGATGCTGGCTGTATATATGCGATGTTCCCACTGAATCAAAACCATTTGTACAATGATTGAGTCAAAGTTTAAAAATGTAGGAACCTTGTTTTTTTCGGCCCACCTTGTGTTTTTTTCGCCCGCACGCATTAGATTTAGAGTCTCCAAAGGACGTCATCCATAAAATTTACTTGCTGTGGCCTAACTAGAGGTCGGAGATCCCATGTCTTCGTCAGCGGTACATTGTTCTAGAGAATTCGAAATGAACAAGTGTATTCTTTACTCCTTTCTAATAATTAATTTGATCTAGAGTACAAATTTCTGTAATCCCTTTTTATGCTACGAAACAACGCCACAAATTTTACAGACGCGCCATCACCCGTGTTAGGTCCCCATACGTTATGTGATTTTGGACTGTGCCGTGGCAAGCTGTCTCAAAGATCGTTATTTCTAAACACAAAAGGTCCGCTGCAGTGACAACGGGACCCCCCACGAGGCCCGTTAACGAACTTAACCTTGGTCTCAACAACAGTGACCTGCCTACCAAAAAATTTTAAACATCAATTTACATATACAAAAGTTATTCTGCTAACAAACCACAAACACAGGAGGTGCACTAACGTAACGTACGGACCCCCACGAAGCCCAAACTTGCACTTGATTTTGGCCTTAACAACGGTAATCTGCCTGCCAAAAATCATGGACGTCGAATCATGCCTTCAAGAGTTATTCCGCTAAATCCGCAGTCAACCACAATACAGCGGGACGATTCCATAGTCTTTCTGACGAAGACAATAAGGAATAGATAAACGGTCACACAGTTGCAGATGTTGGCAGCTCAATCAATGTGCGTTAGATATAAAAGTAATGAACAATCCTTGTCACTGAATTCCTGCATGGAAGGAGTTTTAACTATGTAGGCATCGGCTTTACGTCTCAAGTTCACAGCAAAGACATATCACAAGCCTTTCGTTACAAGTTTAAGTATTGTAACCCGTTCACGTGTCCCAATGTATCAATTGACCCATTTCTATGACTTCTATAGGAAGTGGTTATTCTTTTTAGCACGCAGGTGAAAGTAAAGTCTAGAAAGCTGAATGATTTTTAAGGGGCTTTATGTAACCTTTTACACCAAAAATTGAAATATTATTTCAATGAAATAATCATGTGATTGTAATTTAATTCTACTTTTCAACATATTTGTACAATTAGCTCACATTTCTGACATTTATGTCTGGCAATAAAACGGCCCACACTATAGCTAGGCGCACTCAGTTTGTGGTGCCACCACAAACTACCAGAATGTAAACAAACATGGCTGACAGCTGTGTTTCATGCTTTTAAACACACCGTTAAGGCGTCATATTATGTCACAGTTGTCCTAAATCAGTCAAGATGAATCCATACATTAGTTTAGTCAGACCACATCTAGAATACGCTAGCGCTGAGTGGGATCCGTACTACAAGGAACATATTCACAAGTTAGAATCGGTACAGAAAAGAGCGGCCAGGTTCGTTTCAAATAACTATGACACATATGCCAGCACTACCAAACTGGTCACAGATTTAGGGTGGGACACATTAAAGGACAGACGCACAGCAAGTAGACTCACATTACTTCAAAAAGCAAGACACTCAAAAAACAGCCCTTCCGGTCAAAACCTTGTTGACGCCTATCCCGCGCCAATCGCGACACTTCAACTCAAACTCATACAAGCCACTAACGTTTCACAAAGACTGTTACAAATATTCATATTATCCACAAACTGTCAGAGATTGGAACATTTTGCCCCAAGAGATAATTGATACTGCGGAACCCACGAAGTTCAACGCTGCAGTACTACAACACCTGAGGACGCAGCAATAGCGCATCGCACAGCTCCCCTGCACGCTTTACCCCAATTTAGGGGTGTTGTGCAGTATCCAAACAAGAACAAGAACCTCCACTTCCTGAATGAGGCTTATTTGCAAAAAGTTACTTTTTGTATCGTCCTAATGTTACATAATGCATAATGTAAAAGTAAGCTATTTCGACCAATAAGTTGTCAAGCCAAAAGTGTCAAAAGCTCTACCGATGTTAAAGGCAACCAGTGCAGTTTTTAGGGATTAGAAAACAAATTTTTCAAAGTAAATATTCTAGTCACTTATGTCTGCATACTAAGCTCAAACAACTCTGTCTCAAATTGAATGTATTTCAACATTCATGGAGCATGTATTGATTCAAATTATGTTCTCATGCCTTTGTTGCACTAAGCATTGAGTGAGATCTCTTCTTTTGAGGCGAGTCTCTGTCATTATTTAATCATTTATTTGAAAGGAATCTTATTTTGTTGAGTGTATATTGATTCATTTGTTATTCATATTTTTTGTTATTATTTATGTCAGTTCAAATATTTGTTTACTGTTTTGGTACTTCAATTTTGTATTTATTGGAAAGTACATGAATTATTACTTTCATTTACTTTCATTTCAAACATATTATTTCTATTATTTGACCTCTGATCTCCAATTCATTTTTTCTCTATGATTGATTCTGTTTCAAGTTGTTATAATTTCAGTATGATTTGTATGTTTTATTTATTATTATTGCTAAAAGCAATTATTATTATCATTATTATTGTTATTTCATTGTATGCTGCGGACTCTAGGAAGAATAGTATGGAGTTGACTTCCATACTAATGGAGATCTAAATAAACAAACAAACAAACAAAAATGTCAAAAATTCCGACGAAAAACGGTTACTGGAAGGACCTAGATAGGAAAGTTACTTTTTGTATCGTCCTAATGTTATATAATGCAGCTGTAAGTTTGAAAAAAAAGGAATGCGCAAACGGAGAACAGGAAATGGACATTGACCTCAGAGTCTGTCCTGGGTTCGAGATTTCTCCAGAGGCGGTTCTCGTGACTCAGGTCCAGGGTACCCAGCACCACCTGCACCTCCCCCAGCAGGGCGTCTCTGCGCAGGTGCGGCGTCTTACTGAACACCTTCATACGCAACTTCATGTCGTTCAGCATCTGAAAAACACAGGAAAACTAGAAAGGTAACATTTGCAATGCAAATGCATAAGGGGTCGTGTGGCGTAGCGGCACGGAATCAAGAGGTCCATGGTTCCTGACATGCCACCGATCTTGTGCCCTTGGGAAATGCACTTTACACGACTTTCCTCACTTCGCTCAGGTGAAAATGAGTATTGTATTGTCCCCTGTGTTGGTGGCGGCATTAATATAAGTTTAAAAAAACTTGAGTCCAACCTCTAGTCACCACGTCTTGTGATTAGATATTGGAATAACTTTATATCTAAAAGAAAATGCACAATGTTTACCTTCGCATATGGTCTGCTCTGTTAGTTCTTACTCAAATACATTCATATGAATATGGTCAGACAGGAGTATAAATCTCTCCTGCTATAAAATTGCAACATGATGTAACTCAACACCAGTTACCATAGTGACGGATGTCAACAAATCAGGTCATTGGCCAGGTTAGAGAGAGGTCAGTTTTTTGGAACGGAAGAAGAAGAGGAAACGTAGCAAAAACAATATGTTTACCGAATAAAAGTTCAGAGATTACTTCACCCCTTTACCTATACTGCTTTGCGACCATTTCAGTCTCACCGACAATAATAGCCACGCGTACGCTGACGACATAAGCTCCTTTTCAAGCAGATGTTTGGGTTTTCGCTTATTTTTGGCGTGTTTTGGGGCATTTTTATCGGGCTTTCATTTTTGCGCTGACATCTTTTCTTTACTGTTGGGTCTGCGTAAAAAAAAAGATACCAGTGCAAAAAACGAAGCCCAATTAATAATAATAGTAATGAATCTTTATTGCATGTTCTTGCCCAGATGGGCTAAATGCACAAGAGGATGTCCAGTATGTAAAACATGAGTATTTCATACTGGTACACTGTATTCTAATGCAGAGTGCTAGGAATCTATACATCACAATAATACTATATACTACCTATCATCTACTGTTAGTTGCCCTTTCTTCTCTCTTTTTGAAACATTTGGAAACATAATTACATAGTTTGTCAACTGTACATTCGTTCTTATGTGACATCAAGCGTTTAAACATGTCCTGCTTTGACATTTTCTTACATATCTTGTCTAATTGTAAAGTATCGAATAGCTCTTGGCGTTCATCTTTATATAATGTACAGTCAAGTAGAAAGTGTATCTCGTTTTCAACATATAAACAAGGAAAATCGTAGATTTTGTACCTCCGGGTATTGTAATGTATGTTGCAGAATGTTGGGTGCATGTTGGGACTGTTCTTTAAATTAGTGAATGGTGTCTGTGTGTGTGTGTGTTCACGCGAAGACCATTTTTTCGAAAAGTTTCGAAATGTTTGTAATTGGCTAAATGATCTGTGAAATCACTAATCCCCCCTAGCCGACTGGAGCCCCAAAATAGAAAGGACAGGGGGCATCCCGTGGCGAATCTGGCTGCCCGACCCTCAGCGACCAGCGATAATGTAAACAAACACCCACACAAACGGCCGCGTGAGAAATCAAGTCCAGTGCGCGGAACTTGCTCTTGAAAATTTATCAAGCCGCTACGCTTCCCCCCGCAGCTGCCGTCCCTCCCCACTTATCCCACACTAGTTCAAATCACGTAAAAAAAAAACACATCAAAACATGCACAGAAGCGTGTTCAATCATATCTTTCATGTTACGGTTAAAACTTAGAACCTCCTTTTGAGCGAACGTTACAAACACGAAACAAAATAATATTTTCGAAAACAAATCGCAATCAGCAAGATTTCATTCCTGTTTCATTCATCAAAAGTTCTTGTCGATTGTAAAATGATCACTCATCTGTTGTCTCCTCTAGTGTGTCATTTGTAGCGTAATCACGGCGTGCCAAAAAAATCAGTCAAATCTATGAAAATTCCGGGATAAAAAACTTGGCAAAAACGTGTTCTCCACATCGCTGTACAAAACCATGCGTGCGCCATTTTGATATGTAAATAGCAGCGCGCGATCTACGCTCTCATTGGTTTACCTCACATGACCTGCGTTCCGATTGGATAAGCGATATCGAGCCGGCAGCGCGATGAATTTCTTAT